TTTAATATCTAATATTTTTACATGCTGCTAGTGAGAGAACCTGTTGTTAAAATATTTGAATCCCACCACTGGGCTTTACCCGAGAGAGACATAAACCAGCTAGTGATAAAATGAAAAATTATTATGATGTCAATACTGATGAGCTCGGAATTCCCAGAGGTGACATATGTTTATAGAATCTCCAATGCAAGAAAGGACAAATCCAAAGTTAAGCTGGTGCTGAAAGAGGCCATATTGTTTGCTATAAAAGATCAATGACATGGTTTACGGAATCCAGAAGAACAGATGATCCAAGCCAAAGGTCGGCTTTAGACATACGTCAGTAAGAATAAAGGCAACTATGTAACTCCAGAAAAGAACTTGTCAGTGGAAATTGAACCTGCCGAGGAGTTTGGAGTTCCTGATGAAACAACTTCCAGAGGTTCATCAAAGTTGGAGCCACCAGTGAGTTCATCTGACCATCAATCCAGGAAAAACTCCCCCAGCAACAAGATAACCAGTAACAAGGAATCACCCCATTCATATACCATGGGCCTTGGAAAAGAAAACCACTAAGAATATTTGAAGAATAGAAAATTTAGTGTTGTCTTATTTTTGCACTAGGATTGTTCAGGAAACTTTCCAATTCAGGATAGAGCAGCATTGTAAGCTATATTTTAATGTTCTGATTCAAATGCTGGCTAGAGGGAGCTGTGGGTTTACATACACACCTGCATATATGTAATCATGCATGTTCACAAACACACGTACATATAAAACTGGAAACCATGTGAAAGTAAAAATGCAGTGTAAAAAAAAATGTAAAAATAAAATGAAGTCAGCATATACATTAACTTTGTTTATAACGTTTAATAGAAATACGTGCGTGGGTTGCAATCCATTCAAAACTGAAGCTAAGAAACCTGCTATACCCGAAGTTCCTTTTACTACACATAAACAATCAGTTGATGACGATGTCTCTCTTATCACTAGAATAGAGACTGTGATTGATAAATTGGCAAGACAAGTTTGATTACATTGTTTACAACTGTACCAGCGCTATTTGGCTACAACAACACTAAATACAAGTTTCTGCATGGATTGTCACAGTAGTACAATTTTAATTCAAGCATTCATTTCCTTAAATTGAATAATATAAATGTGATTTACTTAGGTTTGGATTAGCTGACTACCCAGTAAAAGTTTCCTTTTTTTAATAGTTGTACCAAGGCATAAATCTTGTGATTTTTTCTTATTTCTAGTGATACGCCTAATATTTAGAGAACAACTATGACTTGTGCAGTACTACTTAAAATGTTGCATTACACTGTCACGTGATCGTAATAAATGCAGTCGTTATAAGACATATATTACAGGATGTAGCCTTTGATAAGGCAGTTTTATTCGTTTGTTTTTTTCTAACCCTTGATTTTAGTATCAGTACAGCTTCTATTGTACCAAGCTCGGGACTTGACAAGGGCCTTTGAAGAAAATGACTACTCAGATCTTTTAAACGTCACAAAATAAAAATAACAGTTTAAATAAAGAAAGCTGCAAAGCATTGAAAACCAACAAGCCTAATATTTGTGATTAAAATTCCTTTACAATACAAATTGTTTTTACATCATTCGTCTACTAAAGGATTCAAACGCAAGTGGTGTGAATGTTATCTTTTTGTTTCATACACGACACTGTCCAGAAAGATTTTATTCAGTACCATTAGTCGTCAGTTGGGCTGGAGTTTGAGAAACAAAAATATACCTGAAACGTAGATGTATAAGAATCTGAGTTACGGTTTGAATGCTGAAAGCTGATGAACCACTAAAAATCAGTAGACTTAGAAATTATTTTATCATTTGTAGCTTAAAAAAAAATCACATACAATGCTACTTTTACAAATATCATATATGATTTAAAATCCGTAATCGATCAATTAAGATGAAAAAAAACACACAACAAAACTGCAATCTAATGTGATTATTATCACAACTATTAGGCAAATTGGTCGCTATATGCAGGAGCGTCGCTTTGGCACCTGAACCTTCGTGCCCGAATGTATTTCACAGTGCCCCGAATCTATCTTACGTAAACCATATATAGAATGCCTATTCTTACGTGCTCTTTTCAAGTACCCATTGTATTTGTGAACAAATCACCCGTATTTATTAGAGACTGTGCAAATTAAACATAACGTAAGTTACTTTCTAGATCGCTAGCGATATAAACGAGAAAATATTTCAATAAATTTTTGAAACGATACCATGAAAACGTAGTCTAAAAAAGATGTTTTTTTTATATAAAGTGCAAACAAATCATTTATATTATAAGTGTATCGTTTTAACAATGCTTATTTAAAAAGAGATGCACTCAAAGAAGCTGATTTCCTTTTAACAGACACGTAAAAGGGAAGGAAAACTTCCTGTGATGCATATCCTTGTTTACCAGACCAGGAAACAGTGATAACACTAAAGTTTTGACTTTTATATATATCATTATATGTCTAATAACAACTTACAAATTTTGAAAGACAAAATTAAAATGTTTAATTAAAAGAAACTCATAACACGATACTCTACGTAAGACTTGTCCTGTCGGCATTTTGAAAAGCTCGTCCTAAATAAATAAATGTTGTAATAAATAAGGTAAAAAATATTAAAAAATAGTTAAAACACGTCAACATTTCACTGGCGTTAACCAGGCATCATCAAAGTATAATAAACGCTGGTGAAACGCTAATGTATTTTAAATATTCTTTTATGTCCCATTTTAGCTGTTTTGTATTCCTTATTTATTACCAATATTTATAGAATACCTCCAGAAGTTAAAATATTTTGTTTGTAATTCAAATACGAGTTTGTGGTTTATAAACCAATGGAATAAGTTTTGAAAGCACAAAAAACAGCATTTACTCTAAAGGTTACATTCAGATCCGAAAATCAATTGTTATTACCTGTTTAATTAACTATTTTAATTACTTTGTAGGTACTATTAAAAGAATGAAAAATGGTATTACACAGTAAAAGAGATTTACTTGTTAACTTTAGAATTGTGAGTTATATAGAAACACAACAATATCAATGCCACTATCTATACGTTAGTTGTTTTACATAAAGAAACTGTTTTAGTTTTGTTCACAACACCGAATAATAAATGTCGTTATTTGAACTTATTTCCTGTTTGAAACTAGAATAAAATAAATGGTATTTTTTATTACGCGGAAGTACTTCTAAAAACAGTGTTTAGGAGCAAAAATAAGTAGATGACACAAGTAAGCCACATGAAGCTCCCTCTTTACTACATTAAACAAATCAACCAATACCATTAAAAAGTCATTCTTTACGAATCAACTTTAAAACAAATAGATTAGGCTCTTTTTCTTAATGATGCTAGTCATTCATTAAATTAGAAAAACTGTGGCACACTGTTTAAACCAAAATTAAAATTACAAACAAGGAAATAAACAAACACTGATGGAACTTTACTGCATTCACTTTCGTTAATCGCCCATTCAATTATCATTTAACGAAAAACTGTCTCAAAAATGCTCGTTCCCATGAAAATATTCCCCTCACTATGATCAAGGACGTAACATTTACCTGTTAAATAATTATAAATCAATTAGTAATATTTTAGTTTCTTTACAAAATAAATTTATTTGCGCTATGACACAAAATTTCATAAAGAGTTTAAGTAGGAATACAATTTATAGTATTTTTGTTTTTAAACGCCAAGTCATTAAAACTGTTTATAAATTAAGCTCTAAGCATACATTCCCTACTAATAGTAATAGCTCCATCCAATTTCTTTATTTTAATTTGCTAATATCCATTCACACATAACCACTAAAACTATTATGTGTAATAAGTCTTCATTTTTCAGTAATTCAGGTATATTTTTAAGAGACACTGACCTGAAATTTACAACTTACTCGTTTTAATAATAATAATTACTCATTTTCTATTCTACCAATAAATTTATTTATGTCGTTCCTGGATTTCAAATGATCCTTTTAAGTAATATTCTATTACATACACACACGTCTCAACGTGCTTAAGTTCTTCTTAAAATACACAATACATTTTGCTTTAGGCTCTCTATTGATCCTTATGGGATATACGAAAAATTATTTTTCACCAACAATAACGTGTAATATGACCGCATTACTGCGGATATTATTTCAACCTTATCGAATAACGTAAAGTCAATAAATAAATGAAACAATACCGCATGAATGACAATATTAATTACTTTTTGTTCTTTACTTTTGGCGTTTTGTGTGCCAGAACAACTTACGTAAGTTATACTCTTTTAATTTCTTTGTTGTTCGTTTTTTTTAATTGATTTCGACTAAATTCTAGAATAGCAAAATCCCAACATTATTAGTGCTAGTACAAACAGTACTGCGTAATTTCATTTCTGTCCGAGCTTGTTGTATTGATCGTCACTGACAGAACAAGTGTTGAATTTATACGCTGATCACGTGCCTAACACCAATAATTCGAGTGCTCAGGGAAAAGTTATGAGGAACTTACCTGAAGCTGTTGTAACCCACAACTTGGGCTTATCAAGAATATTCCTAAGCTTTAAATTTGGGAAAGCGAATTACCGTATACTAAGCTGACGAGTCAGTTTCGTATAAAATAACTCATCGGTTGTTTACCGGCAAGAGCTGTGCTACGCTTAGGCTAACATGGGTGTGCTCGTTTCCTTAATTCTGATTTGCCAATATAAACCAATGACAGTGAAGAATAATATCTGACGGCCCGACGCTAACCATAGCAACAGTTATACCATTAGAAAGTGAGGGGTGTCTAGAGTCCTTCAGAGGTACAACTTTCCCATTTCCCTCATAAAAAGTCTCCTTAAGTGAAAATGAAAATCAATGACAGGAAGAATCAAACTATTGTAAACTTCTTGAATACAGTCGATAGTCAAATAATTTATTTCAACCATTGTGTGGTTTATCCGTTAATATTACTTTCTCGCTGTTTAAATCGGCACGTGATACGACAGTTTGTATATTTTTGTTTTTCAAACGTTTTAATGGAATTTCCTGGAAATTAACCTATACATAGCCAACCTCATGGGTTTATCCAATGTTGCAATGTATAAGAATGAAATATAATTCGTCTGTTTAAAAGCAAATAATTTAGCTAAAATTATAAACATATTCACGTTGATTTCTCTGGTTGCATGGTATCTTTGTGGCGACTAAGTTTATTTCATGTCACATGTACGTACTCTTCACAACATTACTGACATTTTTTGTTGTCTTTCAAAATTTGTAGTGCATATTGGAGGGATTTACACATTTTAATAAAAAGTTTATAAAAAAACGACCTTTACACTCCAGATATAATATAGATATTTTTATTTTAACAACATAATATATGTATATTAACCCTGAGGAAGCCTCAAAGACAAAACGTTGGTTAAAATAAAAAATAATAATTGTATATACAATGTATGTCTGAAGTGTAAAGGAAGTTTTTCCTAGACTACTGACATTATATTCCAAGAAGCCCCCCTCCCCCTCGCTCAGTGGCACATCTGCATGTCTGCGGGCTTACAATGCTAGAAACCGGGTTTCGATATGATAACTGTGGTGGACAGAGAATAGGTAGCCCATTGTGTAGCTTTGTGCTTAACTTCAAACAAACATATATTCCTAGAATTACCGGCGTGGTCCATCAGCTTTTTTAACATATTTCTCTGAACCGTTTATGCACAAAACTGGGCCCATTTCAATATTGCAATTAATCCCACTAATTACTATTTTAAATTTAAAATATGAGTGGTTTCGTCCATTTTTTTTGTTCATTTGTTTACACTAAGTGTTGTAACTTCAACATTACACGATCAAATTATATATGTCGTACAGTTATGTAACACACCAATAAACTTTGTAATACAATGAAGTATTAATGTCGTAGATTTCCTTGAAAGATAATATAGAGTAATATATTTAGGTATTACTCAATTCTTGTATAGTCCTTGCAAGATGTGTAATTACTTTGAGTATTACAGTTACTACTTCCTGGTAGATAATCGTATATCGTGAGATTACATCCTTCTCTAGCCTAAAAATCTAACATATCGCTATGGGCGTCTGCGGGGGGAGGGGAGCATTCCCCCCAAAAAATTAGAAACATAATTTTTTATTTATTTATTCAACATATGTATATGAATTTTTTATTCAGTTCACAATTTCACACTACTTTGCCCCCTCCCTCCCCGAAAAACTTTGCTCCCGTCCTGGAATAATTTCTGCGGACGCCTATGCGTATCTCTACTCCGGGATACTCAGGAAACCTTTTTAGAGTTTTGTGTGTGCGTGTGTCTGGTGCAGATGTCTTGCACTTAGTCACAAACCGCGTTGAGTTTTATCTGAAGCTTGGTTCTAGAGACTCTTTAATATTAGTTGACTGTTCATGACTTTATACACCTAGCTGTTGTGGATGTCCACTCCCCTTGAAAATGGTATTGACAGTGTAAGACTCCTACAGAAAACAGTAAGTGGACTGTAAAGAGTTACCAACGTGCAATTAAAATAACAAAATTCAAACTTCCCTAAAACAACTCTTCAAGACAAATAATACTGCGGAAAAAGACTACGAAAAATGGCGTTTCCCCAAAAATAGTGAGTGGATGACGTCTACCTTCCAGTCTAACAATGGATATTGGGGATGGTTGATGCTGTACAGCTCATTTGAGTGAAAAGAAATTGTTAAAGTGAGTTAACCTAATGTCTATTGATCAATTCAGGGTTATGGTAAGGAGTTGTGTGAGATTTGTGAAGCTTAGAATTTAAATAAATTTTAAGAATAGTAAGATCTCGCTTTCTTTTATTCCACACTGAACTAAGGGGCCCATTTCAATATTGGGCAAACAAGTCTTTTTATGGAAGTGACCAGAAGCAACAGACTAACCACCATAAAAGTGGTAAGACTACTCACCTCTGTAAAGCAAACAGTTTGTTAATGAACTGTTTACGTGTTTTGTGTACACTTTGTATTAGTTTCACCCTTTACAGTCGAGTTGTTTATTTTTAATATAAGTTTCGTTTGGAAAATCCAGAACCTTCGTTTTTGCGGGACTTAATACAGAGTCAACTATTGGTCAAGGGTTCTTTAGAATGCCACAATATTTCGGTAATACAGACACGTACTTCCTTGTAGGATGACGATAGTGGTATTCTATATTAAATTACACAGGCCTGCGAATTTATATTTCATAAAAGTTGTTTTGATTTTACTAACGGATTTTCCATAATTCAGCTACGCAGATTTCGAAAATAATATTCTTTTTGTTTGTATCGCGTAAATATTTTTTACAAATCGGGAAGAAAAACTCTTACTTAGATCAAATTATTATTTCGTTT